CTGGAACCCACAGGGCAAGAGATCAAGGGGAAGACCTCGTGGAACTTGGAGAAGAATCACAGAAATCGATGTACAGAAAAGTGGGAAGACATGGAATAACATCAAGAGGCTAGCCCAGGATAGAGAAAAGTGGGGGGTGTTTGTCCGTGGCCTATACCCTGGTGCAGGGTGAGAAAGGCAATGATGATGATGATGAACAACAATAGCATCAATTTTTTTATAAATCAAGAATTACTACAACAACAACAGCAGCAACAGGGTACACACGAGAGCGGCCATGGCGTTGTAGATGAGCCCAGAGCTATCGAATCAACAAAAACAACAACAACAAAAAACAACAACAACAAAAATAACAACTATAACAAAAACAACAACAACAAATAAGTTCAATTAAAAAAACAACAACAACAACTTACAGGTGAGAGCTGCCATGGCTTTGTACATGAATCCTAAGCAATTGCATAAACAACAACAACAATAGCAACAACAACAGCAACAACAACTTACATGTGAGAACAGCAGAAGCACAGTACATCAGTCCTAAGCTAATGAATAGACAATAACAACAACAACAACAACTGCAACAACAACAATAACAACAACTTACAGGCGAGAGCTGCCATGTCATCGTACACGAATCCTAAGCTATAGTATAAACAACAACAACAACAACAGCAACAACAACAACAACAACAACAACTACAGCAACAACAAAAACAACAACTACAACAACAACTACAACAACTTACAGGCAAGAGCAACCGTGGCGTTGTAGATGAGCCCTGAGCTATTGCATCAACATCAACAACAACAACAACAACAACAACAACAACAACTACAGCAACAACAGCAACAACAACTACAGCAACAACAGCAACAACAACAACAACAACAACAACAACAAAAACAACAACTACAACAGCAACAACAGCAACAACTTACAGGCGAGCGCCGCCGTGGCGTTGTAGATGAGCCCCGAGCTATCCGAGTGCCCCCTGAACAGCTCGGCCGGGCACTTTTCCTGGTTGATGTAGTTCCACAGCAGCGCTTTCATCAGGGTCGGGGCGTGCATCGCACTGGCAAAACACACATGCACACACACATTGTGAGGGGTTTTTTTATTTTCGGGGGGGGTTTGTATTGTTAATGTAGTAAGAGTTTTACGGCACTTGCAACACAATAAGGTCATATATGTATGTGCCGAAGATTAGAGGTGTTCCAAGACAAGAGAGTAACTAAAAAAAAGAGGGGATGCAGTTCCACAGCAGCGCTTTCATCAGGGTCGGGGCGTGCATCGCACTGGCAAAACACACATGCACACACACATTGTGAGGGGTTTTTTTATTTTCGGGGGGGGTTTGTATTGTTAATGTAGTAAGAGTTTTACGGCACTTGCAACACAATAAGGTCATATATGTATGTGCCGAAGATTAGAGGTGTTCCAAGACAAGAGAGTAACTAAAAAAAAGAGGGGATGCAGTTCCACAGCAGCGCTTTCATCAGGGTCGGGGCGTGCATCGCACTGGCAAAACACACATGCACACACACATTGTGAGGGGTTTTTTTATTTTCGGGGGGGGTTTGTATTGTTAATGTAGTAAGAGTTTTACGGC